GGGGGGTGGAGGGCGCTCTAATTGAAGCACTCAGAGTATCATGTGTATCAGTGTCCCCACACTTCAAAACGGCAGTGGGGGTGCTTTAACTAAAGCTTGTTGAACATCGAAGCAGCCCCAGAGCAGCCTCACTGCATGTGTATATGTGCCGTAAGAGGGCCCAAGAGCAGGAAAGAAAGTCCTTGAACATTAGACAATGTTCAGTATGCAATAAGATCTCTGTTTAATGAGCAGGGCTGCGACCTCCCCGAGATAAAGCTGAGTAAGGTCAATAAAGTAGAATAAGATGACTCTGGACGATAATAAAAAAATCCATCCATCCAGAACAAACAGCAACTCCTCAAGAGCAAAAATAATCTGAATGCAGCTCAGCAGTTCAGTCTGGAATCCACCCACCAAGACTGAAGTTTCAATTAAAGTTAAGCAATCATTATAAAGAGAAAAGAAGGAAAGAAAAATCATAAGGTTTAAGAACCCCTCCAAGACCTGAGGGCTCAGATGTTTTGTCTAACATATTATCTAATTGCTCCTAGGTGACACTCAGGGATGGGCTCTGGAGTCTATATTAAGATGGATATGATGTCAGGGGAAAGAGAAACTGACTGTTGAAAGGTTTGTAGTGTTTCTATTTTGAGCTGACTGACACATATCAGTGCAGTTACTGAAGCACCAAGACTACTCTCTACCGCAGAATAACTTAGTTTTGGAAAGCAGAAATATTTAGTAATTTGTCTGAGCCAAACAAGTCACATTTAGAACCAAACCAAAAATGTAGGGACATTCAGAATCTGAACACATTTAATATTTTGCTACATAAGCTATTATTCTCTCTCTCTTGACAGTTGCACACTTAAGTCTGCACTCATGTGCCAGCAAGGCTTTATTTTTTTGCAGCAGAAAACAGGGTCAATGGAAAAATACTCTTATTATGAAAGATCACAATCTCAGCCTAGCCAATGTCTCCTATTGTTTAGAATTCACCAAACATTTAAAGGAAGAAGACTGTTTAGGACACAGTTAGTCCAGTGTCTTCAAACACAGCCAGAGAGACAAGTCAAGGCATATTAAAGATCACAACTCCATCCATCTTGGTTTCAGGTTGAAAAAATGCCACTGGGATCATGTGGCAGAGAACAGGCAGAATCATCCAGCTAACTTTCACATGTATCGACTTTATGATGTGCTGATTCAGGCACTTCCCTTCATTAGCATTAGTGTATCCATAACAGAGGATGAATAAGAAATAAGCAAGAAGTCTGCAGCAGGATGGGGATGGCAAGTTTAAATGGAGAATCAAAACCATCAAATAACTGGCTTGACAATTATTGGCCAACTCACCACATCTACTCTCCAGAGAGGCACATCTGTACTTATTCGATTAGTTATATTCACTTAGGTTTTACTCCTCATTTTAGAGCTAAGGTGTTATATTACCCGATCACAAGTTTGGTAGAACATTGTGGCAGGTGTAATGCTAAGGCAGCTGTGTGTTAGTGCTTTGCCAGCTGTAGGTATGTTCTTAGTGCAGTAACAATGAATGGGTGACAAATCTTCTGAGGGCCAGATGGTGAGGAAGGAAAGTCATAACTTTTCAAATGAGACAGGCAACCTCTAAATGGCTTCCAAGAGGGGCTCCTCCCACATTCTCCACTCTGGGTTGTGACTGGCTGGCAGCAGATCACTTTGCACATCTTTGCTATCAATACATTTAAGTACATTACAGATCAGAGACTGAAAATGACAGGCTTCCTGGACAACCCAGAGCACACTTCTCCCTCCATCCTCCTGGCCTGATGTCAAGATTGCTATGATTTTATCGTACAGCTGGAAATTCCTGGCTGCAAATAAGCAATCAGGACCAAGGACAGAGACACCAAACAGCTACTGAGGCATCCTAGTGCAAATACCAATTTACACTAAATTTA